TTGTGAATTAAAAGCTGTTTTGTTGCTTCCAGTATGGATACATGCTGAGACTCGGTTAGTGAACCATTCTTCTCCTAATATGCAATTACACATTAAAAGTAAATTAAAGAGGATTCCTAACATACAAGTGTTGTCCCCACATTATAAAGACAACAGAGCATCTGCTGGGTGCTTGAGATAATGATTCTTTAAACTTATGTTTTTCAGGTTCTTCCTTCAAATCAAGCTGTAGCAAAGGAGAAAAAACATTAGAATTCATCCCAATAAATCTTCATCTGCAAAGAATGCACGTGCATAGTCCTCGATTGAAAGGTAGAGTATATTCTGCAGAGAGATTCTGTAAGTAGGACAGAGTATGCTTTGAAGTATGATTAAACTTGCAAGTGAGAGGTATAGTTTCCATTTTAGCCCTGGTTAAGATGTAAGTGTCTTAATTTATGTGTCCAGTTTCAAGGATGAACCTTAGGTGGACATGCTTTCAGATGAAACCTTAAAACCTCAATAGAACTGAAAGGTATGCCATTTAGAGATTTGAATCTTGGTCATTTTGAATTTTTCGCTTAATGGTAGGATACTGGCAACAATCTTGTTAAACTTCGTAGGTGGGACGTAAAGATGCTACAGATGAAAAGCATGGAAAGTATTAAATTGATCTTTTTTTTTTGGTAAATTTATGTGCAGTTTGGACTTACATGGATTTGGTAGAACACTAAGGAGAAAAGAATATCAGCAGAAATACAGTGACTTGTAAAGAAAATTCTGGAATTCATTTCATGTTGCATATGGTTTGCCAATCAGTGAAATTTGTACGGTATTAGCTTGTTTGTAAGATTTGTGCGGTGTGGCTTAATAGAGAAGGTTTCGTGTATGACTAGGCTGTTGCTTGGATTTTTTTTTTTTTGGTTTGGTGGTTGTTTTGTTTTCTTAATATAATCAAAATCAAGCTTTCAAGTTAATTATTTAAATATCTTTCCTGCTGTACAGGCTTCAAATTTTTAATTTTTCACTTTGTTTAATGAGCTCTAGAAACCTTCTGTGTAGTAATTTCTGGCCTTTTTTTTGTGTACATACCTAGAACCTGTCTGTCTTCCGAAAGGGTTTGATTTCTTTCTCTCAGGCCTATCCATCTGCTTCTAAAACCCAACCTTTTGGTTTTGGATGTTGTTTGGAGTATTTCTAGAGCAACTGAGTGTGTGCTGTCCGTAGAGTACCACACTGAAGTAAATCATGAGATCGAAGAAGTGACCAGCTTGCACATCCTTCACATTCCTCTACAAATTCTGAAACCTGCACCCAGACATACTGCCCCTGAGATTAAGCAGAAGTCCTGAGTCTGTGCTGAAACTTAGGAATCAGGTCCAAAATTAGAGCTATGCAAGGGATTTCTTTGCCTCATCTGCTGAAGCCACAAGTTTTGGATACTGACTAAAGATCCTGAAAAACTAAGGAGTGGTTAATTAAATTTCTTTTAAGTTCTTTTTTTAAAAATAAATTCCATGGGTGTTGGGCTCATTTTGTTTCTATGACGCTTCAAACGAATAAGTAAATGCAGAATATATGTTTACTGAAATGTATTGGTAACCTACGTGTGGTTAAAAATATTCTGTTGTAGCAGTGCAAAAGTAATACTGTCCTGATTCATACTGACACACTGCAGAATGTTCAGTAAGATGCATGTCCTTCAGGGGCATTGGTGTAGTTTTTCATTGTGATCCATGATGTCAATGTAGTGTAAAAGCTAGTCTTACCTGTCTTGTTTCTAAGGTGGGTTTTTTCCCCCACTGTCCCACCACAGATCGTGGTAGAGCACAATACATTTCCTATCAAGAGATTGCCAGGATGAACTTGCCTGCCTAGGTGATGCGAGCTGCGTGGCTGTATTAAGCACAGTCTTACTTCTAGACTTAATATATCCTGTTTCCTAGGAAGTGTTAATGACCCCCGGTGCCGCTTGTGCCTAAATCATCTTATTCAGTGCTACCCTGTCCCATGTAAGCATTTGCTTAGTGTTAAGTGAAAATGTCTTACTGGTTGTGCTGAAAATACTTCTAATATCTTCTGGAAAGGGAGATAATTTTCTGTAATGTCTTCTGTGATTCTGTTTAATACACAATTCCGTTGCTGCTGCTTGTATAGTTTTAGCAGCATCCTTTACAGACAAAAGAATGTATTGTTACATATACATGAGCAAATCATAGAACAGTGAACAATTTGTTGATAAATTAAGATCTATTAAGTTTGCTGCTTTGTAGAAATGTGGAAGTTACACTCTGGAAGGGTTTTGCCTTATAAATACACTGCATCTAAGCAGATTGTAAAATAGTAAGTACAAACAGTAATTATCGGAGAATTCTACTGTGTATTGCTGATGTTCATCCACTTCTGAGTTGGAACATGGGGATTGCTCGTTGTCTGTTAGATACTGTACTGGTTCAATATTTAGTTATTTCTTTTACTAAAGAATGGCGCCTTCAAACATTTTAACAGGATGGGGGTTTATAGTGATAGAATGTAACAGCACAAACTTCAGTTTAGCTAATGTTTTTAAGTTTGTTAATTAACTCAAAAGCATTTTTATTTTTGTAATGGCTACAGGTGGCTAGAACCTTAATTTTATGTCTTTTCAAGAAAACCTCTCTGGGAACAGGGCGTTGTATGTTTATTTGCCAAATAAAATAGTGGAAGGAAATATGCTACTTTCTTAATCACCTACAGTTTTTACACTACTTGAATTTTGGTTTTGTTTTTAATGAATTTTCTCCTTTCTCCTCCAAAAGCACTTTACTTGTGGCATATGGTTAATCCATAATTGAAGAGGGTATAGAAAGAGATAAATGTTAGAATCATCTTCTAAATTTATAACTTTGTTTAAATGATAAAACTCTCGCTTTTTTCTCCAGCTAATGTTCACTCCACTGACACGAGAATTAGATAACACTGTTCTTGTTACATTGAAGTTTAGAGAGTGCAGAATCTTAGTAAAGAGGAGAATTTGTGTTAAAATCGGAGAATTTCTGCTGACACATTTTTTTTGGAAGACTGACAATCGTAGTTATGGGAAACTATTTTTCTGAGTTCATAATGGGATCCTCAGTATCTTTAGGATATTTTGGTGGCACTGTAGTATAAATGTAACTAAAAGTAATTGAAGATTGTTACTATATTTGCCTTTGGATAAATGATTTCTGTATCTGTTATATAGTCAGTGTCCCATCTGTTTCGTTTACTGAAAGAAGTTTCATTATACGAACCCTCGGGCTGTCTCTTGTGTCAGATGTATACACCTTGAACAGTTTGTATTGGTTGTTAATCATTGTGGAGTAGGCAGCACTTTGACATCAGGCTGATCTTTCTCACCTTGTGCTTTGCTTGGCATATATCAAAGGGTACCTGGAATATAACCAGGAGACTGAGAGAAAGAAGAAAGAAGAAGAAGAAGGGAGGGGAAAAAAAAAAAAAAAAGGAAGCATGTAAACATTCACAGAGGTGGTGATTAAAAAGCTCAAGGCCATAAAGCTGTCATTAACCCTTGCACTCTCAGATATCTTAATTTTCAGAATGCAAGATAGATTTTAATCCCATCTATCATTTGTATGCACGTGAATATATGCTTTTTTGTTCTTTGTGTTCAATAACAAGTTTACTTTTTACTGAACTTTGATTCTGGTTGTTCTTGGGTACTGACATGGAATAGAAAATACCTCCGTGTTTAAACTTCCAGTAGTAACAGCTTTGAGAAAAATGCTATTTCATTACTGGATAACTGTATCTCTATCCATTTGATAAACCCCACATTTTGATCTGTTCCTTCTAATACAGAAGTTAAATTTATAAATTGTCATAGCTTTGCTTTTCTCCGTGTTTATGCATGAAGCGTGCTAGTTTTCAATAAATTCGATGGACTGAAGAGATTTCATTTTCCTTCTGGCCAGTGTGAGACACTGACTGCCTCCTGTGAAGGCAAGCAGGTTGCTTCAAATTCGAGATTGAGCTATGCTTGACATCAAAATCCCTCAACTCTTTAAATTGGGCTGATAAAGCTCAGGTTTATGGAACTTCTACTATGTTACTGTCATTGTCACAATGTTGCAAAAACTCGGCATTTTATTTGGGAAGGAGTGATGAGCAGGTAGTTCATATTTCTGCATGGTGAAGGAATTGTATTTTAGCAAGTGTGTAACTGGTGTTAGTGGTTTGCTTTTACAAGTAGGAGATGAGTGTATCTTTGAGTCAGAATAGTTAGTAGGAAATGATGATTGATTTAAAGCTCAGTTTCCTTGCGCTCTAATTGTGCACATTTTCTTTCTTCAAATTCTGAAGTAAGTATTTGAGGAAAGGTTGAGGGTTTTTTTAACATCTATTAATTAATAATTTTGGGGAGCACACTGACATTCCTCCTGATTCTTGCAGCACTTCCCAGTGTATTGTGCTCTGGAAAGTGGGAGTGAGACTGCCCTATACCCATCACCAGGGTGGTAGCCATTTCTCACACTCTCTCATGTTTGCTTGCATGGGGTAGGTACTCAGTTGCTCTGGGTGCATTTGTGTCTCAAACAGCTGCTCCTTGACCACGCTGAGAAGAGGCCACAGGCTGAATGAAAGCTTCCTTCTTAGTAAATAGCTATAAGCAGGGTCACTATTTATTTTTAAATCAGAGTTGGGAAAAGCACCAAGATTTAGTCTTTTAAATGTTTTCCTGTAGTCTCATGAGTTATCTGTAAACGTATTCAGAAGCCATTATTCAGTTAACCTGATGGGTTCATTTCTTACTTTAGTTCCAAGCCACCATTTTTTTAAGCAATGGAACTACTTTTTGTCAAGCACCAATGGAGCTCTAATAGCCCATGATTATGTATTATGGATAAATCTCTATGAAGACCTGAAAGAATAGGCTATTTAAGAATCGTGAAGCTCACCTGAGGCTAATGAAATTATGTCACATCTTCTTTTAAGTGGAAATTGAAGAGTCACTAATTCATTAGTGTTCAAATCAATTTGAATGAATGTGCTTTGAGATTCAGCTCAGGAGGTAAAACATAGTTCATTAGCTGTGAACCATTTGTACAGTGTTCTTGCTTCTAGGGATATTTATCATCAGAATGCAAGAAAAGTTCTATTTTAGGAGAGGATTAGATGTTAATTTACATTTTGATGAATAAAGTAATTCACATGAAAAAAAATCCTCCAATGTTTCCTGTAGGAATACATTTTAAGAATGAGGCATTCTGACCTGTATTTATACACCTCCAGTGAGCTTGGGCACAAACCAGGTACTGCTTGGTGCAAATGTAAATTTAAACTTTAAAGGAGTAATTACTGTTGTTTGAGATGCAATTAAATCTTTGTCTCTGCACTGACAATCAATCACAGGCACAAAACGAGGGGCTGTTTTTAATAAGATGTTCCGTCTCCAGTTTTGGAAGCATATATCCGTAGAAAAAGTTCATCTCGTATGTCACAAGACACCAGGTACATACAGAGAGTAACAACTGGTTCTTCTCTCAGCAACAATTTCAATAGTGTATAGTTTATTTCTCATTCTAGTAGCTTTTCAGCTGAAAACTGACTTGCTCCGTGTTTATAAGCATGTATAAAAATAAGTGTATGTCATAGAACAGGGCTTTTCAATTTAGTATTAAAACAGGTAATTACATCTGAAAGGGGAAGCTACACAAATTCAAACTAGAAGTAGAGGTTTTTACTACTGAGATTGATAGATTAATCATTGGAGCAACTTCTCTGGGAATGCAATGAAATCATTGTCACTTGAAGTCTTTAAATCAAGATTAACTGTTTTTTTTTTTTTTTTTTTAAATGCCTCCACTCAACCAGAAGCTTGATGCAAGAATCATTAGCTGTAATTTTGTAGCCTGTATTATTCAGACAGTCAGACTATTCCATCATAATGGTCTCTTTTGACTCTAAAATGCATGAATCTGTGCATCTCAACATGATTACAAGTTAAATAATGGAAGGGGTAATAAAGTGAAATACACAAAGGGCCAATTTACTTGGCAGCTTTGTAAACTGCAGAGCTCGAATATTGTTCTACACTGTGGCATATAATTTAGATCTAGCAATAAATCAGATAAACTTTCTAACATGTGCAGGTGGCTGTATGGAAGGATTGATTAGCTCTTGAGCCTCCTTGAGACACAGATTCTTGTTTATTCCTTGGAAATAATATAGACTTGTCCATATGTCTTGTAGAGTAGATATCATAGTGTTGCCATAGCTTGGACACAGGCACGTGAAAACCTCTGTGCTTGTCTGTTCCCGTTCCAGATGCTCTATATGATGTCATCACCGTGGGAGCCCCGGCAGCACATTTCCAAGGATTTAAGAATGGTGGTCTCCGAAAACTGCTGAGTAAATTTGAGGCAGAAAGACGAAAGTAAGTGTTTTTGTAAGTAGCTAGGAAAACATCGTTAATGTTGCATTAAAATGTTACGAGCACACCAAGTAGCATAACAGTTTACCGTGCTGAATTCATGGAAGACTAAAATCTAGTACGACTGGACAAAGATTAATAAAATATTTCCTTCATCTTCCCTGCTATCCTGGACTGCAAAACTGAAGCAGAGTTTACTTTTAATGTCAAGACTTATTTTGACCACAAACTCAAAATTGTGAAATTTTCCTGTATTTTAGGAAGCTTGAGGAATATCAGTGCTTGAAAACATGCTGTTCAGAGTGAGAAATCTCTTTGGTAATTCTTGTGCTAAGTGGAAAGTAGCTACAGATGGTTTTTCAAAAAAGAAACAGTAGCTTAAGGTAGCATCTTCATTTCTAACAGCCCTGGGCATATGCGAACAAAAAATATTTCTAGCATACCTGTGAAGTAAATAAGAAAATATTCTTTTTCTTGTTCTTCAGAAAGCCAAAATGAAATAAAGCAAAGATAAAGGCTTTAACTGGGGTTTTAGTTTATTGCTGTACTCAAATGCTTTGTTAACCACTGGAAGTGTACAGAAGTGTTAGTTGCATATTTTGCTAACTAAGAATTGGACATGTTTGTGTTTGTTGCTATGGCTGTTAAGAAACTCTGAGCAGCCACAGCTGCCACTGTAGCTCATAGCTGAGACTACGTGACACTTGGACTAATTGTGCCAACTCCATGCAATCAGTAGCACAGCATTTGAAAGGGAATGCAGGAAGTACTGTGTATGCTGATCTAAATCATCCTGACTCTTCATAGAAAATGAATTTCATTGTATTCAATGCTCAAAAAAGTTTCATAGGTACAATATCATAAAGAATAAAAGGAGCAATTATAAAAACCTACTATTGACTGCCAGGTTGACTAGACATTGGCATAAATGCTAACACCAAGAGAAAACTAGCAGAGAACTTTTGCTTTGAAAACTGTATTATTATTTTTTCTGTTTGCACTGCATGACATAGAAACCCTGTTAAATCTTCTAAAATCTTTCATTTCACTGTCCACCTCTGGTGAGAAATCTTGCCAGTGAAACACGGATATCACTGATCACATGAGACCCGTGAATGGACTTTGTGTTAGAAGTAGGTACCTATTCTGTTGTCAGCAGACTGCTATAGGCAGCCTTATCCCCATGACACGGAGGCCTACGAAGTATCTGCTTCTTCATGAAGAAAATGTCTAAAGACATTTCTTAAAGTATCTGCTACTTAACTATCTGATTAATATAGTTGCAATAGTATTTAGTGGGGTTTTTATTATGTTTCATAAGAACAAATTAAAGACATAAGTGGTGTGAAGAGCTTTTCTGTTCCAGCCATCACAGTGTTCAGCGTTCAGAAAATGAATCGTTTCTCATTTGCACGGTCCTGCAGCAGCATATCCATGTTGTCAGAATGTGATTTCCCAAAATGAAGGATAGCGGATAGCTGTGAGGCAAACTTGAAATTATTATCTGTGATTTCTGTTCATTGGAAAGAAAAAAGGGAAAATGCCTTCTAGGTAAGAGACCTAGTATTTCTTGAGTTCTTCCTGGGAGAATACATATTGTAGTATGTCACAGGAATGAATAGACAATGTCCTTGTTTCTTAGTTGCCCGTAACAGGGGAGAGGAGAAGACGGGCTAGACTCCATTCTTTGGATCCTGTGCAATGTTAGATGTCAAAAGGCTAAGATGGCAAAGGATACTCAGTGCAGCACAGCTTCTGCTCATTTTCATTCACCTTTATTTCACTGACTCAACCACGTAGACCTCGAAGTTGATAGAGGATTGTGATCAGGAGCAGTGGGTAGAGCTTTGTGAAGGTTTTATCAAGGCATTTCATGCCTATTTCAAAGTGCCTACTGTTTCAGTTTAGCCTGGATAAATGCCAAGTGCCCACCAAAACCACTCTATCAATCCCACTCCTCAACTGGACAGGGGAGAGGAAATATGATGAAAAGTCAAGGTAAGGACAGGGAGAGAACACTGCTGTCAAGAACAAAATAGATTGAACTTGGGGAGAACAAAAAGTTCGATTTATGACCAATCAAATCAGAGTAGCATAATGAGTAAAAAACCTAAATCTTAAAACACCTTGCCCCGACCCCTCCCTTCTTCCCGGGCTTAACTTTACTCCCTGCGCATCACCTTATATTTGCCCTGCTTCTTAGACTTTTCTGCATCCCTCAGAGCCACCTGTGTTTTGGTGACTTTCAAGGACAGGATACTGGACCTTTACTCTGACAGTGCAGTTTTCTTCGCGTTTCTTTGTCTCCCTAAAAGAACAAAAGTCTGTCTTTGGGATGATATAACTAGGGTAACTATGTTACTCTCTTGTCAGACTGTTCCTATAAGAAGAGCCTGAGTCAGGCTAACAAACTCAAGTTTGAGCACTGAAAACAGGGGACTGCAGGTCTTAGCAAATCACTAACAGACCTGAAGAAACGGTTGCTTAGTGTACGAATTCCTGTGAAGTAGACAGGTGAAAACCTCCAAATTTCATCTTCCCTTCTGTCTTTGAGGGCAGCTCAGAGAAAACTCAATGTTTGTTTTGTTTTTTTTTCTTCAACTACAAGAATTTGTGTGAGTCGAAAGACAGGAGAAAGCAAGCTCTGAATATGATCTCACTTATGTGAATATTCAAGAGTGGGTCTGCTTTAAATAGATACATGAAAGGACTGTTCTCATTCTTACCACGGAGAAATTTCTTTCACTGTGGCGATGACAGCTTTATTTTGTATGCACCTGTTTCTTTAACTGCGTGAGGATGCTTTGAGCACACATGGCATTTCCAGGGGCAGCTTTTACAATTTAAATTTTCTGTTTTACAATGGGCGCAGCTTTTCTGAAGATTTGGTTGAAGGAAGAAGTGACACCTTGGTGTATCAGCAGAATGTAAAATGAACAAAAAAAATGCAGATTTAGCAGCCATTTCCTCTAGGCTAACTGAGCTGGAGACCTAAAGGAAGACTGGAGAAGAGGTTATTTCTCAAGCCAATCCTGGTAGCTTTCAAGACATTGTTGGTGCGCATGACAGAATGCCTTGTGTGCCTTTGACCTTCAGGCTGATTATTAAAACAGTTTATTGAAATATTCAACAGAGTCAGCATATCACAAAGTATTCCTGACTCAAACCTATGCTTGTGGAATTAACAGACAGAGGAACTGTTAACTGGTAGCAAGGTTACATCCCGCTTTGCAAGAGCGAAATTGCATTTGCAATTGCTGAACCAAAACAAGAGTGAAACATACATTTCACGAAAGTTTATCAAACAGAAGAATGTGAAAAATGTGTATCTGAAGATAGGTCTGGCATATTTTCTGTTACATGGAATATACATTTTTGTGCAGGCAAAAAAGGGGAAGATATTGTATAATTATTTTTTTGTTAAAAATGCAGTATTTTTGCAATTCTTCTTATTTGTTACTACCAAGCAAGTAATATTAAAAGACAAAAAAAAAGGTAAATTTCTAAAAATGCGATCTCAAATAAGAGGGAGAAAAGGTTTTCTCTGAAGCGAAAAACAAGACTTAGAGGTATGTGATCTGAAGCCAGGTCCATTGCTTCATAACCCATTCACAGCCTGTACTGTTCTTTATCTGCAACAAAGAGACAGATGAAAGGCTTTACCACTACGGACATCAGGCATGTCTATAAGGCATAACTCTAGTATGTCTGTCCCTTTAGTAGCTAGTAATGAACTTCATAAGACTGGTAAGAACAAGGGATTTTTTTTTTTAAATCTTGTTTAGGCATGGTAGTGTTGAAATTCAAACAATTGAAGTGTGGTGATTAAGATATGCTAACTCATTGCAGAGTATTAATTATCTCTGTATGATACACATTTATTTTAATTTTTTTTGCATGATGCTGTATTGGTTTGTTCTTTTATTTTTTTCTTTCCTTATTCCTAGCTGAAAGAGAAAGCCAGTCACTTGTTCAGTCTTCTGTTGGCCTGCTCATGTAGATTATTTCTCCTTCCAGCAAATTGAAGGGCTTGTCTTCTCATCAGTCTAGATGGAACAGCAAATTATTGTTGTTAGAGCTCAGTTGTGCAGGAACATTTAAGGCAGACCTTCTGTAAGTTATACCCATATAATGCCTCACTGCTTAAAATGTTCATAACTCACTTTCAGGGTACACCAAGGACTTATTTTCTTATTCAAAAGCTAATTTGATGATCTGTGCTTTAGCCAAAACACATAGACTTATGATTAAAATTTTTTAGTGCCCCATTACTAACCATCAAGAAAAATAGGTGTCCCACAAGCTGCATTAGGTGCTATGATTCACTATGATTTTGCACACTATTGCTAGCAAGTTCTTTAGAAATTATCCTGCTTTAATTTAGCACAGGCTTAAACCTGGAATAGTCCTGAAAAGGATTTTATGTTTATGTTGTTTTATTTTTTTAAAGACATAGTAGTTTAATTTGCCTTTGAGTTGTCTAAAAAGATTTTTTCATTTGATGAGGCCTAGATTTTTTGTCAAGGGGTGAGGTGTGCTCTTTCACTAGCATACTTGTCACCAGATATTTTATTAATGCGGAAATCTTCAGGATTCCTGTTACCTAAGTTTTATAACCTTCAGCTTAAGTCCATTCTCTGAGGAACCTGAAACGGTACCCTTTCACTGAACATCCCAGAGATGTTGAAATAATAATAGTTTTTGTTTGATCTAATTATAACTTTTATTCTCAAAGGGAAACCACAGCCTGTCGTGCGTAGCACTTTTCACAGAGATGTTATTGTTTGCTCACTTTCCCCGTTTTTTGTGCACACGCGTGTGTGTGTACGTGTGTATCTACATGTGTATGAGAGAGATTAGACTTCATGGAGATGAACATTTTTTCATGGACCATAAAATCAATGTATTAAGGTTACTGGAAATTTTGCTGAGAAACTGCCGAAGTTTGTGCTAGTCATTTGAGACAGAAAAAGCTTATCACAGTATTTTCCAACTCTAGGCTCTCTGGACTTAATTACCTGTAGCATCTCCTTATGCAGGCATACAAGAAGGGACTGGGGCTGGAAAAAGAAGGGAAGGAGAAATTGGGGGAGCTTTGCATGCAAAGGTTGGACAGGATCATATGTTTTGGAGAGCAAGAAACTGTTCTGTATGCATGGACTCTTGTAGTGGCAGGAGCAGAGTGGATCTATGACTTTGCCATCATTTCTTTTAACACATACTCCAGCAGGCTGCCAGGAAAAGGCTCCACTGAAAGGCACCGTTTAGCCTCAGGCTTGGATTGAGGCACAATGCCTTTATTTTTTTTTTCCTGACAAGAACAATACTCAGTTACCCTACATAAGATTCTTTCTTACGTTGAAGCCGACTTGCATCTTTCCACCAATGTAAAGATACTCTGACATTAATTTGAAGAACTGTGGAAGGCTTTCCCTGGGCATTCAGCTTCCCTGGACTGAGTCGTCCCAGGAAGATTCACTATGAGATTCACCTATGCCACTCTGGCATCTGTCCCACTTAGGTGTGTAGAAGGCTGATGAAGGGCATCTTCATTTTTCTTTTCGCTGAAACTGATGTCCCATTACCAGTTGAAGGCATTGCTGTAGAGTTATTCCAAGATTCAGTTAGGAATGAAGAGGAAACAGAAGAGCAGCAAGAGAAGCTCTGTGCAAACAGACTTAGCCATTGCTTCAAGATAAGGGTTCAGGAGATTTGGACTTCAAAAGTAAAGATAGATTAGACAGAAATAATAACATAATTTCATTTTCTTCAGTATTCAGAGTCGAAATTTCCAAGTTTTCAAGGGAATCTTAAGGAAATAAAAATAATTAATTCCAACTTCTGAACTCTCTCGGGCCTGTTTTCAAAACCTCAGCATGATCATATGGTTTAGATTTATTTCCTAAGGCAGTGAATTGTCCTGGGTTTTTTATGTAATCAGTTTATTTTTAATCATAATTTCCCTCTTCAGACAGAATACTTCACACATAAATAAGCCACTGAGTTGGTCTCTTTAATGACGTACATAAGCTTGAGGTTATCTGGGAAAAGATATTCTTGCTGTGTATGCCCTAACTGTATTCTTGATGTTAATGTCTGCGGTTTTGACCGTGAAAAACGCGAGATCAAATGTTCTTTGTTGAAAGAGTTTAACCCAGTCCCAGAAGGTGACAATTTAACTCAGCCACCCAAATTACTCGGTTAACAGCAGGAGTGGAGTTACTTGGAGTGTCATTAAAAATTAGACATTTAGCATATTGCTGTATTCATTCTCAGGCTAAACCTTTGTTAATTTAGAGTTAAAATTGCAGATGTAGCCAATGTAATCTTTACTCAAATTACATGACAATGTCATTAAAGCAATTTTAAAACTGAAGTGACCACTGACAGTCATGTGTATGTAGTTAACGATGATGCCAATATATGGAAATGATTGTGTGATTTTTATATCCCTAGTGAGAGCTTTGAAACTTAACCCAGAAGACATTGTTACAGAGTTTTTCAAAAGGTACATGACTAATAATGTATTTTACATATCAAAGGTTCGTTTTCATACCGCTGCTGATTTCCCACACTGGCCCTACCCCTGTGGCCTTTGCCCTAATGCAAATGTTTCTTCTTAGTTGTAATTCCCTTCATCTAGTTTCTGCATTAGGACATCTGTAAAAAGTTTCTCTGTATGTTCTATTGGTAGCTGCTTCTTTATATACCGTGACTATATGCAGCAGCAAGCTCTAAAAATATTTATAAGGAAACTAATTCAGTTAATTGGCAGTAGTAACGTCTTTTCATGAACAGTAAGGCTACAGAAAATTCCAGGCTAGTCTTAGACGCAACAGTGTCAAGACACAACAATTAGAAACTTCAGATACTCCTAAACATCTTGTTTATGAAAAAGAATTACTCAATTTCTTGAGGGGACAGAGGAAGTTGCCCTCAAATTCTGAAAGAAACTGAATATTTGGAGTCATCTCATGCTTTCTGGGGTTCTGGAAATGTTAAAATTAAACAAATAATGAGGACTGAAAGAGCCCTTCATTCTGAAGAAAAAGTCGTTCTCTCTCCACTATTTCCTTTATTTAAAAAGCTATGATTTACTTTATTAGAGTGAGACCTACCCACAGGTTTAGTATCTTTCTTCCCTCTTTCTTTAATTGTAGCATTGTCTGTAGCTTTTCTGCTGCAGTATTCACTGAAGCTTAGAGCTGTGAGAGATCAGTGAAAATGATCTGGGGATTAAAGGCTGAGGGGAACCCCAGAAAGGAGTATGTGCATGGTGAGCTTGATAACAGCATTAGCAAGATTCAGACTGCAAAAAGGCTGTTTGATAAAGGAAGGGAGAAGCATGAAGGGGAATTAGAGAAGATTATTCAGCGCTGTGGAGTATCAAGATTTTTAAGACTATGTCTTCGCTACAATTAACATAGACTATTACTCTTTGTCCCTACCTTGTCTACTGACTCTGACAGTTTAAGAGTTGCAGTGAATGTAGAGATAGATCTGACTTTGGAAGTTCGTTTCACTAACAGTGTTGCCACCTTGAAGGCAGAGCTGTGGCGGTTTCCTCATTTCTCAGAGGGACGGGGATTTTTTTGCCGAATTCATTAGGAGAGACAGTTTATACGATTCCTTTTGTGGAAATATCCAGAAATCTGACCTCTGCACTCAGCAGTTTAGCAACTCATATAGTGGACTGCAAACTGGAGACACGTAGTAATTTTCATGTGGCTAGTAGCATGACTGATCATGACAAAGTTTCGCTGAGTCAGATGCCATTCATCCTGACTGCCTCTAACAAAGAATTGTATCTAGAAACGAAGACATTGGTGAAAGACAGAAAGATTAGGAGGGCGTATTGTGGAATCTGGGACTGTAACTCAGCAAAATGTCTAAGCAAGAGGCTTAATTTTAAGACTGCTTGAATCTATCCCTACTTGCCAAAAGACTTAAGCCTTCTAAGTTTTATGGAAGTGGACTTAATTTGGACTTCTGAAGGTGTGTTGTGTATGTCCTATATTGAGTAAAATTTAATTTCTTATTTGTAGAAAACTAATGAGGAGGAACTAGAAGGGACACTAGGTGACACACAGGGGAAATGGGGGAGTGAAGAGATCTGGAAAAAGACTGAAATGAAAAGCAAAGTTCCAAAGATTACACAAGTGTCAAAATTCAGGTCTTGATATGTGAAATCAAGAAATAAATCAGTGGGGGAAGGATGGAAGAGACTGAAGGATGTATGATGAAAAGACACAAGAGGGAAGAAGGGAGATAGATACAGAACCAAATGGGGAGTAGTACCTACGTTGTTCTGGCATTAGTAATGTTCTAGGAGTTGCTTCATTACGTTTTGTCCTGTGTTAGAGTTATAGGTTAAGCTGCAAAAGATTTTGGTTGGTTTCTCTGAAAGACTGAAGCAAGGCTTTCTAAAGGGAAGGATTACACACAAGAGTTTTAGGTGGGGAGATGTATACTACAGCCAAGAACCAGCAGGTGTGTGCACGCTGTCTGAAATGGTATTTGGGACTAATGGTATAAAAGGGTATTGAGTAATTAGTAAAGTGTTGTGGGGGAAAAGCAGTAACACAAAAGAATTGCAATAGTTTGTGAACAGTTAAATGGAAAGTAGGGAGTTTACAGTATGCATTTCTGTGTTTTTGTAGTAGATAACTCCCACACTCCATTTCTGCATCTTTTCTTGCAAGTTAGACATATGGTTTTTGTTGGAGATAACTCTGGTTATCACCACTTCCTGGACATCACTGATGCTAATCAAAACGTAGTGCGGGCCACTGATCAGTTAAACACTAATGGCTCGTTTTGAAAGACTTAGTGAGGTAGTTAATAATGTGATGGGGAGTTCAGCTGGAAAAATAAGGAGCCTTATGCTCTTTGTGATTATTGGTCAAACCTTCTGTTTCTCCAGAATTACATTTTTTAAAAAAAAAATAAATATCTTTTTTTCTTGTGTTAAGATCAATCACTCATAGGGCTGATTAGGTTGAACAGTACTACTTGGAGTGTTTGGTGGTGGGCAGTCTGTTGTACTCCACTGTTCAAGCAAGGAGTTGTTTTTGCGCTTAAAGGAAGGAGCATGTCAATGGTATCAGCGAAGTTTGGGTATCTGTCATTTTTTGCAAAACTAGTGGTAAGATTTTCAGCACATTAAGCATTGTTAACAACAGCAGAAATTATTTTGACATTATGTGACTCTTTCTCTGTTATTACAGTACTGGATACCAGTGTATTTACTATTCACCTGAAAACACAGCCAAGGCAAAAGAAGTTCTCAGCAACATCAATCATCTACAACCTCTCATATCAAGCCATGCAGACCTGCTGCTTAATTCTGCAAGCCAGCATTCTCCAGACAGCTTGAAGAATTCTTTAAAGATGCTTTCAGAAAAAGTAAGATTCTAATCTTCACTGCAATGGAAAATGGAATAACCATGTCTCTAACTGTTGGGGTTTTTTTCTGCATAAATTGACTTTCATAGCATCAGGAAATGTTAAACAAGCTCTGCTAAAATAGCTTCAAAATGTTGCTATCAGAAAAAGAATATTATTTAGCATTTCCATGTAGAAAATTAATGAAGTCTATAAAGATCGTTTTTATTTTAAAGTAGAATTAATTTGATTTCATGTGTCTTTGTTTTCCTCTAGTGGCCACATACTGCAGTTTATCAAAAATAGTTTATTGTAAATAATTCTGTGGTATGATAAATGGTTATTTTATTTCTTTTTCTGTGATACTTGTGGGAGGTAGTCCAAGCCAGGTTTGTGCGTGAGGTTTAGAATAATAGCATGATCAGAAATGGTGATGCAGTGTGGAAGGAAAGGCTAAGAAGTTGGCACCAGGAGGTCTCAAATTTTAATCCTCTTTCTCCTTTTGCATTCCTCTGTTGCTGTAGGCTCTTCCTCCTCTTAGTTTCTTTAACTATAAATTAAGGAAGATAAAATTTTCCACCTGTCTCACAGAGTGATATTGGAGATTAGCTGAAGTCTGAAGCACTTTTAAGCATATGTTATCCTATAAAAATATTAAGCACTATAGCTGTGACCAGAGGGGTTGAAAAAAAGTTTCCTGTCACTTCACGGGCCATACCTTCTGTAATGTGATCTCAATATGGCTTAATAACACTATCAATAACCATTTCAATATATCTTCAGCTATTGGGAAGTGGCAACCCCTGTGGTCTGTTGAGCACTATTATCCCAGCAGTATGTCGTTCAATGGGAGTTTCAAATCTGAATATTGAGCTCAGCCACATGCTGTGAAAGCATTGCATTGGAGCCACGGGGGAGAGAAGCGTTGCTCTCGGTTACAGATGTGTAAATCCACAGTAACTCTGAGAACATAGGAGTCACTGTAAATGTCAAGGATAATAGAGCAAAGCAGAATTCACCTGGAAATGAAAAGGAGGAATGGGGGGGGGGAGGGAAGGGGGTTTGGCAATGATAGCATACCTTTCCATGTACTACTGAAGGAGGCCATTTTTAGCTGCACATAGAAAATGCGGAGCTGCTCTGTTAGTGGTTAGTTCAAAGAAATATGCATGCACAAATAAAGCACATGAAACAAAGAAGTGTGTTGCAAAGATTCAAAAATTAGATCCTTCATGGTTAATGCAAAGCATCATCTTGATAACTTGGCAATGATAGCATACCTTTCCATGTACTACTGAAGGAGGCCATTTTTAGCTGCACATAGAAAATGCGGAGCTGCTCTGTTAGTGGTTAGTTCAAAGAAATATGCATGCACAAATAAAGCACATGAAACAAAGAAGTGTGTTGCAAAGATTCAAAAATTAGATCCTTCATGGTTAATGCAAAGCATCATCTTGATAACCAAAGATATCCAAAGATAACCTGTCTGTATAATCTGGTACAGTGTGGGAGAGCCAAGACTAATGGAGTGTCCCTTGTTACGTTGAAGCTAGGTTGGCATGCTCTTCTGAATAGAATTACATGATGCCTACCTGCATTCTTGAGGCAGGAGAGGTGCTTCTGCTCTCCCATCATTTGTATACTTTTTATATGGAAAAAGTGTTCTCTTACAGTTTAATTTGATAGAAATTTAGAAATTAAACAGCTGTTTGAAGAAGTTGTACAAATTATTTGCCTGGTGATTACATTCCTCCAGTTTATTAAAAAGCATAGCACTTTTTATTTTAAGATAATGTTAAGCGTGATATATATAATAATTCTTTCTAAAAACATTAGGTATCAGGGAGTATAGTTGAGCTGTCAATAATGTGAATTACAGTGAAGTATTTGTGTTAGAAATGGAGGGTCTGGCTGCATGCACTGAAAGTGGAAAATTAAATCAAATAATTCCACTGCTGCTTCTTAAATTCACCTTATTTTTTCATATTAAGCATGGTTTTCCTTCTCCATATATGATTTGCAATTTAGTGTAGTGTTTTCCTGAGAGTAACCTTTTATCAATACTTCCTGTTAATTCATTAAGGAAGCCTTTAGCTGTCGACAAGTGTATCAGCATTTGCAGCTTGCAGAAGGCTTGATAAATTCATTTTCCAGCTATGCCTATCTTTGTTTGAAGAATATTCTTTAGTCAACTATCTAAAAGAATTTGCAAAGTTTTGATTTCTTTTGTGTAGACCTGTTTTGTGATTTCAATACCTTTTTATAAATAGTGATGTTCTGCAAATTTAGCTGTACTAAGCAGTAAGGAAATGCTGTTAAAATGTAGACTATTATTAAACCAATGGAATCCCTGAATGGAATTTAATTACAGAAGCTTTTTAGTCTATGTATGAAAAAATAGAGATATACTTCCATGCCAGTTTGTTTTTTAAAGTGAATTTTCCTTATGAAATATTTATATTAAATTACTTAAGCTTTTCAGGTATTTACCTAATATATGTTGCAGTCATAGTGGGCATTCCTTACTTCAAGTTGTCTAATACATTCAATTTTCTGAAATTTAAAGCCTTTTTTGAGTCTACCGTGCCTGATGCAGAGACCTGAAATGATCTCAAGCAGACTTTGAGGGGGAGGGGAGGTACAAAACCTCAGCAAAACTGTGGTGTTGTCCTTTCTAAGGACAGACAAGTGAAGTACTTTGAACTCTCTTGACACGGAACTGTGGAACGGCCTTGAAGAGGAGCTCTGCTGTTACCATGGAAGAAGACACCTCCACAAGTCTCAATTTGTATCTTCTTTATAGAAGATTGGTGGGAATTGTTAGAAATATTCCCCAAACACTGTGTATTCTCGGAGCATGTACCATGTAGAGGCTGGAAAAGTAGAAAACTGAAATCATCGTGTAGTGCAGTTCAGGACTACCATGAGGCAGTCCTGAAGGGCTACATATAAGTAAACTGTCTCTAAGTACCCTTTCCCTCAGGCACCAAGTTAGTAAGGAGGAGCACTATCGAAAAGGGATGGGAGAAGAATCAAAGTACGAAGTGCAGAACCAGGGAGAAAGATTTCCAGGGACACAGTTGCGGACACTTGAAACCTGTTTGGTTTGGGGGGTTTTGCCACTTCTCCAAGTTTTGCATAAGAAGCGTGAAAGGGCAGAATGAAGCTTGGCTGGGCAACCTTTATTTCTGGCATTTCCTAGCTTGGTGTGACTGCTTGTTCAGGCTGGTTGGTCTGACTTTTATCTACATGCTTTTCCACATGCCTGTTTAATTAAGATTGTGTGCACAAAAGCAGATCAGCATCAGAATCTGCACATGACAATCCACTATGTTCTGGATAAATAGGAAGGCAACGAAATGCCACTGACCTGGGATAAATAAATTCAGGTAATTGTGCTGTGAAAGAAATGCAAAAGAGTGTTTCATCATCACCTGTGAACCAGGGCCTCAGACTGGGGAGAGGAGCTCTGCTAGCCTAGGTGGGATGTGGCGGCTGTCATTGCAGCAGCAGCAGGGTGCGTGCTCTCCCCACTCTAATAGATGAACCCTGTTGTATGTTGTGGAAGTAACCAAAATTGTGACTCTCCCCAGCTGTTTGTCACTGTGGCTTTGCTAGTGGTTACCACCCTGTAGTATCTGGGTTGATAACCTGTAGGTACCAAAAGTTATCCCTGGAAACACTGCTTTTGCAGATACTGCAATCTCAGCAGAGTGGTGTGTTTTTATTTAAGAAGATCCTTAAAGTTTTTAATCACACTTTATCTGACACTTACTTGGAAATTACTGAGCAGTGGTTGGTTACTCTTTGAACTGGCTCTTACAGAAGCTCGTCTCTGCAGGTGAAATTTGGAACTTGAAGAAAATAGGATTGTGTGAAAAGGACAGATACTGTACTTTTGCGTTAACCCTTAGAACACTGGCACTGTAGAATGTGATGATGTCCCCAAAACCCTGGAATTGTTCCTCGTTGTTTGTTGGTCTGTTTTGTTTTCTGCCTCTCAGGCCAGCCTGAAATAAATATCCACTCTGCCTAAGAGTAATTCTGTGTTATAATAGGTATGTTGCAGTATTGCATTATTTGATCTAAGCTTTTCATTCATTTATTTTTTTTTGTAGACAGAGTTATTTGTGCATACATTTAAGGATCAGCTGGTCCGAAGTGCCCTTTTAGCGCTGTACACAGCCCGGCCTGGCTGTGTCCTCAAGAAACCAGCTGTGCCTAGAAACAGTGCAGAAGAGGGGGCTGATTTACAGCATCAGGATCATCCTTCTCAAATTAAAAGACAGGACTCTATACCCCATCACTCTGAGTATGATGAGGAAGAGTGGGTAAGTAGTCAGTATCTCTTGGTTGGTATTTAATCCTAAAGCCTACAATTCAACATTAAACAAATGAAAGTCCTAAGTGTCCTTGTCACATGTTACTGGGGCGAAGGGGGAGTGCAGAACCTTGAAATAATATTTTTCAGATGCACAGTGTATTTTGATACTATCTTGAAATAATTTTCTGAAGTACAGTGTGCTTCTGTGTGACTGCTTGATTGTGCATATAACAGTGAGGGTGATGAGTATCTGCTTGCCCAGACAGGAAAATAGTCTGTCTTTGCTCTTACTTGAGTTGTTTTTGCTAGTTAGACATATATAAGGAGACTGGAATGACGTACGCTGTCATGAGGAAAATCGGGGGGCATGGGAAGCGTGGGCGTCGTTCCCCCCCCAAACTGAGTATTAAGTAGTTTAAATGCATATGAACTAACCCTCAGAAAAACAGAGCTGTTTTCCCTTAAACTCTGTTCTTAAAACAATGTCTGAAATTAACATTCTTAGCGTATCTTTCAAAATTTGTATCATTTATACAGCTGAGCTTTTGTAAATTAGTTATTTTGGTGGATATGTTCATAATAGATCTGCTTCTTTGTAACGTACACTCTGAACTCAAGCTATTTTTATTCGGTTCAAACTCATACTTTCAATTCATCAGTCTGTTGTCATAAATGTAGAGGATGCCAGCATATTAATCTCTATTGTAAATAATTAATAACTTGTGTGAGCTACAGTACTTACATCTGAACTATAATTTTTATCCATACCACAAATAAGGGAAGAAAAATATATTTCTTCTAGGGAAAAGACAATTATCTCCAATCCGATGCATTACGTAGTCATGAGATTTAGACAATAAACAACTCATTCTTTTATTTGTCTTCTGGTTTTATAGCCTTGAATTCACTTTTTCATGTTTTCTCAACAACCTAAGGGGCCAGACTGGTTCTTCTTTCCTCGAAATGAAAGCCAAAATGTTTGTTTCCAGCTACTGAAACATTCAGAAAAATAAATATCGCCATAGTTTTGATTAAAAGGGAGAAATTTTGCATTGGAAAAATAGAATTTATGTGCAAGTTGTATTTAAATCTAGTACTTCTACCTCTATCAAGAAGCTACCTTTACTGTGTTTCATTATTGATTTTCTTAAAAATTTATTTCTTCCAGGTGCTTGGTCCTCATCTATTAAAACATACAAGCACATTAGTTTAAAGCGTGTCTATTTTTTCTGCTGAACTAGCAAGGTTACCTGCTGGATGAAAATGAAGTGTATTTTTAAGTGTTCTCTGAGTTAAACTGAGTCAGAGTCACTGTCAAACCTGAGACAGTATAAATCGTAGAGACATTTTGGTTTTTTTCTAAATGTGAAAGATTAGGCTTCCATTATTGGAAGAACTCCCAATTTCTTAACTGTGCACGGTGCCCTTTCACTGAGTGACGAGAGTTTTCCAAAAAGCCTTCTTCTCAATAGCGATACTGTGTTGCTACAATGCTGTCTCTTCTTTGTACCTGGTATCTTCTTTGATACCAGATACAAATATTCATCCCAGAATAGCTGAAAGGAGTATGGATTGAGCTATTTATATTGGTGCACTACACTTAGGCAATAGTAAAACTTTACTGTTGAAGGAAATATTTGACTGGAGAGTTCCAGATTGCCTTTGGGTAGATACTCTCTTCTCTTGCCAGCTGCGTCTGCTATCCTAGAACCTCTCTGCAGGAGGGAACAGAGCATATTGTCGTATATAATACAATAAAAGGTGGGCCTGTTGCCACTTGGAGCTGTTTCTGCTCTACGCTTCTGACTACTTAATGTATTTGGAGGTACAGAGAACAGACAAAATGGCATTTCCAATAAGTTGTGTACAAATACTGATGCGGTACTCGGATACGGGTCTGAAATACTGACCTGTGTGTGATACATCCCACTCCAAAGCACTGTCACATCACAAGAGGGTGTTAATCATGCACATTAGTCAAGATACTTGCTTTATCTGTGAGCATACCTCAAAAGGACCTGAAGGTAATACGTGGCTGTCAACCGACATGAAGGAGACACAGTGTCTCCAGAGCACTGAGGAGTGCAGTTGCTGTGTCATACCTGGCACAAGTAAAGCATGCAACTTCAGTGATGTATATGGAAGGACAAGAGATGACTGAGGAGCTCTGTAGAGAGTGTGGGAAGCCTGAGAATCCTTTAAAAAACATAAGACAGCACTCTGGGTCTCCACTGGGCAGCAGTGCTTAGGAAAAAGACATCCAGTCAGGTGCAATGACAGGAAAATAGTTTCCACTCCTGCTTTCTGAAAGGAGGAAGTTGAATTGCCTTTTAATGATACTTTCAGAGCAGATGGAAATTAATTGCATTTTTTGGATTGGGTAGATGAAAGAAAATTATTTTCCAGGTTCATTTTTAAATGTCCTAAGAATGCCCAGCTTTCAGTGGTTCCAAGGCCTGGCTTTCCACAGAGATCGTTATGAGTATGCATGCATGCCTACCGGTGCCACAGCAGAGGTGGCAAGAAAAATGCAACTATGGCCGTTTCTAACCGATAACACCTAACCACAAGTTGCCTTGACTCCTTAACGTCCCAAATGGCTTATGAAATTTGGGAGAAGTATATGTCAATGTGCCATTGCCTTGTCCCAGTCTGCTTTGTCCCAGGAGGGTCAAGCCCTGTTACAGGTTTCTGCTTTCCCTGTCAATGGCTTGACTTCTGAGCTTAAAGAAACAGTAATGAGAGGGAGTCAGAGACCTTGTTTCCCTTGTTCTTTCACACCTCAGTAGTAAATTTACCATCCAGTTAGCTCCATAGCAACTGGTGGGAAAATTGGTATCGGGGAGAAGCAACCTGCTTAGGAGTCTAGGCCCTCAGTAGTTCAGTGTATGAAGAAATAAGACTTATTTTCTTCTGATCCCTCATGTCACACAGAGGGCCTATAAGAATGCTTACTTGAGAGGATGGGGGTGTATTTTGTGCTTTAACCTGAGACATGCTGCAAAATGATCAGTTGTGAGGTAGTTCTTAGGCAAACTGAAAATTGACCACTTAAGAAGGTGAAAGGTGGTTGGAAAGTGCACTAGGCTACAGGAAAACATGGGTATAGTAAGGGCTGACAAAGAATGACAATGTCACAATGGATGGATTTCTTCTCAGGGAGAATAGTAGGGAGTCACTTGATTTTCATTGATTGAAAACTGCATTTTTACTTCAGAATTGCACTTACCAAATTGCAGGATTCCAGCATCCCTCCTGGAAAAAGTGTGCCCATTTTTGGTGCAGACAGAAAAACGTTGCAATAAACAGTAGAACAATGAACAGTAGTTTTTCTGTCTGCCTATGATGATAGCTTCTATTCCTAGGAACCTCCTGTGTGGAAAAAAAGAGCTGTGGGACAGGCCCACACTCCATCTTACTTGTAAAAAAACAGATATATGATAATAAGTGAGCTTTCTGTCAACAGATCTTCATGAATTTTGCTTCTAAATCCTCAAGGAATGTTTGTGTGAATATTGTATAGACATCATCTCAAAGCTGGGTTAATAGTTGGTTTGAAGAGAGAAATGTGTTCTTTCCAAAATGGAACAAAGGCTTATATTTGCATTGCTTCTGCAACAACTCCAGATGCTTATTAAGAGCTTGCCACTCTTCGTTTTTGTGATTCAACTCCCCCAGCAGTGAGAGGAAAGGGAAATTACGTTGCTGCAGCCGCACTGAGCAACCTGAGTTCATATACCTAAGCAGCTTCAGTGACTAGAAAGCCTTAAGTTCCCCACTGCTCTCTGGTAAAACTTGCAGCTATTTGGGGGCAGAATTCTTGCTGTCTGCGGTGTTTTATTGCTTTTCATAGAATCCTTCTCCCAGAAATAATGCTTGTGGGTGGTAGAAATCAATCATTTCACACACATTTTAAATGTTTTTCAGGAATGCTTGAGGTACATATGGGATTAAACTTTTCGAGGAATCTATACCTGTCCTCTATCTTTGGCTTTAAATTCTATCTATGCATGTGAATATCAGATAGTCATGTGTCTAAAGGTTTGTTTCATGCGTACAAGAGATTTCCACTTATTGCATTGTACATGCAGTACTTGGAAAAAAAAAAAAGTGGGTTAAATGCAGTTCTGGATGAGTGACCTGCTTCTTGCCTCTTGTAAATCAGTACCTTTCTCATAATATGGCTAAGGCATAGATTTATCTAGGGGGAGGATCAAACCATACTTATCTGCAGTTTCTACATCTGCCTGTAACACTAGATGATCACTTGCCCTTAAGGCAGCCTTGCAAGATCTTTCCAGGAATTGGGTTTGGGGAGCTGGAGGAGAGGATCTGTGTTGCTGTACAGATTCAGCAAGTACATGCTTCTTTCTGCAGGCCTGTGCCACATCCCTCAGGGCAGGGTATCCGCTTGTCACAAAGTGTGGCCTCAAGCAGAGGGAACAGGGAAAGATCAGATACCTCTAGTCAGGATAATGGCCTAAAAAGTGTGTCAAGTAATTAAAAAATCTTAGATTAAATGTTTGCCTTAGTAGTAGTTCTAGCTGTGCCTTCACCCAACTTCCAAGTGTTACCATTTGTATCGAACTGTGGCTATTCTCTGAGTTTTCAGTTTTCTTTGACCTTCTCTCATTGTCTTTTGTAACTCCATTTCTGCGCCTCAAGGCCTGACGTATACGTAATGCTTCTGGCTATTGTACCATAAAGTAGAAAGAAGACCGGTAATATTATCTTCCCATTTTTAACCCTTAAGCAAACTCTGGTTGCTCTGTACTATTTTCAGCATGATCCAAAGTTAAAACATGTATATGGGGTTTTTTGTGAGTTTGTTCTGTTTTGTTTTTAGTCTAATTGCTAGCCTTGTGGACAGCCTCATTTCTTGTACGGCTTGTTCTTTTCCATTTTCTTATTCAGCCCCATGGAAGTAGGTGCAAGCGCTCTGATTTCTGCAGCATCCAGCACCTGAAGGAGACTTCCTGTATTTAAAAAACCCAAACTGTTCCATAACAGCTCCTTCTTTCACTCCACGTTATCTCTTTTGTTCTCTGCTTGTACAGAATTTTTTCTACCACTCTATTACTTCTGTAATTCTCATATTTATTATAAACTCAGTTAAGTACGGTGGTTGCAGTTTGTGTTGAGGGCAAAATTGAAATTTTGTTACCTAATAAACATGTCATGACAGCAAGTTTCTAATTCTAGTCCTTTAATTTGGCATTTGCTTTAACTGAGTAACTGATGTGATTAAAATAGAGGGTATGTTAAATTATCAAATAGAGGTTGTCAAGTACTATGGCAAAACTGACAGTTGCACACAAGATTTGATTTGGCAAGGCTTTGAATGTCTACGCTCTTACTGTATTACTTCAAATAGAGAAAATTAATAATATGCTGACACTTAATACTTCTAGTAATATTTCTAGTAACTTGCACATCTCTGTCTCCACTTGAAGGTGTTAATAAGAGGTTAGTATTGTCTCTGTTTTCTTCTTCCGTAATGTGCAGTGATAATTATGCTCTTTTCAGGACAGGGTGTGGGCCAATGTGGGAAAGAGTTTAAACTGTGTTATTGCCATGGTGGACAGACTGCTTGAAAAAGACAACATCAGCAACACTAAAGAGGGTGAAAATGACCATTCCGCAGCAGATCGCAAGGTGTTGCATACAGGTGGTAAGCAACATTTTTTTTTAATCATTGATGAGAATAAATAAAAATTGAAAAAGTCACAGAAAAATTATATAGAGATGAGTCAATAGTATCTCTGATGAGAGTGCTGATAGCAAGGTTTTGAACAGCTGTAGCCTTGAATGATGGAAAGCTATTCGTCAAATTACAGCTCCTTTGTGTGCTCAAACTGCTTGTTGTGCTCAATTTTTTCTGCTGCAATGAAAACCTTTTGAAACCACAATGTTTTCCTTTGAAAGTTGATGTACTTTATTTTAGATTTCACTTGACTGTACCATTTTGAGGAAAAAAAAATTGGAGCATGTCTTACCCCATAGGAAACTTGTAAAAAAAGGTGAACATTCTGTTTCAGTGTCATTCTTCTGTAAAGCCTTCCACTTTTCTGAAGTGTTATACTGATTTTTGTTTTCTGATTTGCTAAAATTCATTTTTCCCTGAATGAAGGTGTCAGTCTGTGTCAATACTGGAGGCTACGTAGAGTGATTCCCTGAGATGATGCAAACAAAACTTTGTCCACAGCAGGTCCTTGTCACCAAATCTTCTGATCTGCTCCTATGGCTAGATTCCTTGTTGCTTTCTCTAAGCATAGATTAGATCTGCTTCATAAGTCTGACAAGACTTTCTGATGTGCAACTGCGTTGCAACAAATGAAACAGCTCCTTAGACATAATGGTCATAGTCCAAATTTAAGGAAATCGGAACCAACTCTTGTGCCACTCTTCAGTTAAAAAAATAAACATACAGATGAAAAAAACCCTAAAACAACAAAAACTCCTCAAACACTTTATTTTATGGAACTTTGTAGTTTTGGAGCTCTTTTAAAGTTGTGTATTTTATCCTGTGTTTTCCTTTACATGTTTCCCCCCCCTCCCCAATTTTAACGGCATAATTTATATCAAGGGTTTTGAAGTAATTAGAACTTACTTTTAATTTCTTTCTTATGTAGCAAAAATTTAAACTATTTTTTTCAGCTGTGTATCATTTGTGTAGTACTGGTGAGTTTCATGCAACAGATTTTGGTTGTAGTATTGATTTTTAATGCAGCTGCAATGTCAGCGTTTTTACCAGTGTGAGATTTGTGCTGGCATCCTGGAATTCTTGTTTTCAATGCCAGATGTGTTGGACTTCCTCCCTCCTTCCACTTGTGGGCAGTGATGCTGGAAGGAACAGATGGGCCCAGTCTATTAATACATGTCTCTGTGGCTGGTGTCACCGTCACAGCTTTGCGTTTTTTGACAATGGGATGGTCTACACGGCACCAGGATTACTGGCATCAAATGAGAGCCACCTTTCTCAAAGGGGAAAGAGGGGCGGGACCCATTGACAGAGCTTTAAACTAGATGTGAAGGAGGAGGGAGAACATATCAGGCTTGCCAGTGACAAGCGGTGGGATGATACACAATGGTTAGAGGGATGGGGTGCTAGTACAGGCCCTCAGCCTGTTGCCCAGAGGCATGCTGGGGACACTGCAGCACAATCGAAGTCTTGCAGAGATAAGCTGGTGGCTCCTGAGGTAGTAGGAGCCAACAAGAAAACTTCCGTGAAACACCTTAAAGGAAATAAGGGCTGTTCCTCTATGAAGGTGATAAGGCCAGCAGCCCAGATGAAGTGCCTCTACATGAATGCGCACAGCACGGGCAACAAACAGGAGGAGTTGGAAGCTACCATGCTGCTAGAAAGTTATGATGTGATTGCCATTACTGAAACTTGGTGGGAGGAATCCCGTGACTGGAATGTGGCTATTGCTGGCGACAGGCAGGGAAGGAAGGGTGGAGGGGTTGTCCTCAACATCAAGAAATGGATAGAGTGTGAAGAGCTGTCTCTGAAGAATAGCCACAAGCAGGTCAAAAGCTTATGGGTAAGAATCAGAGACTGAGGCAATAAAGGGAACCTTGTAGCTGGTGTCTACTACAGGCCTCCTGATCAAGGGGAGCCTACTGATGAAGCCTTCTTCTTCCAGATGCAGGATGCAGCATGCTTGCAGGCTCTCATCCTGTTGGGGGACTTCAACCACCCCAGCGTCTGCCAAAGAAGTAGCATGGTGAGCTGTAGGCAATCCAGCAGACTCCTGGAGCACATTGAGAATAACTTAAGCCTGGTAATAGATAGCCTGACCCGAGGAGATGCAGTACTGGACCTGATGGTCACCAATGCAAGTGAGGTCATCAGTGACATCAAGATTGGAGGCAGCATGGGCTACAGTGATCATGCGGTGGTGGAGTTCACAGTCCTGAGGGATATGGGAAAGGCAAGGAGTATAGTCAAGATCCTCAGTTTTAGAACAAACTTCCAGGTCTTCAGGGAGTTAGTCAGTAGGACCCCCTTGGAAATGGTCCTCAGGGACAAGGGAGCAGAACAGAGCTGGCAGGTCTTTAAGGAATCTTTCTGTAGAGGTTGAGTTCTCAGTCCCCAGGTGTAAGAAGTCAGGCAAGGAAGGGAACAGACCAGCATGGCTGAGTTGAGACATGCTGGTCAAAATAAAGAGCAAGAGGGAACTGCACAGGCAGTTGGAAGCAGGGACAGGATACCTGGGAAGAGTATATGGATGCTGCCCAGCTGCATAGGGATGGGTTCAGGAGGCCCAAGGCACGGCTGGAGCTGAATTTGGCAAGGGATGCAAAGAAGAACAAGAAGGGCTTCTACAGGTATGTCAGCCAGAAAAGGAAGGATAAAGAAAGTGTACCCCCCGGATGAGCAAGACTGGCAACCTCGTATCAACAGATGAGGAGAAGGCTGAGGTACTCAACAACTTTTTTGCTCTAGTCTTCACTGGCAACCTCTCTCCTCAACCCTCCCGAGTCAATGGACCACAAGATGGGGACCAGAGGGATAGAGTCCGTCCTACTGTAAGAGAAGACCAGGTTTGTGACCAGCTGAGGAACCTGAACATACGTAAATCTATGGGACCTGATGAGATGCATCCCAGAGTCCCGAGGGAACTGGCTGATTCAGTTGCAAAGCAACTCTCCATGATATTTTGAAAGTCATGGCAGTCAGACAAAGTCCGTGGTGCCTGGAAGAAGGGAAGCGTTGTGCCCCTTTTCAAAAAGGGTAGGAAGGATGACGCTGGGAACTACCGATGTGTCAGCCCCACCTCCGTGCCTGGGAAGATCATGGAGCACATCCTCCTAGAAGCTATGCTAAAGCATGTGGAGGACAGGGAGGTGATTCGAGACAGCCAGCATGGCTTCGCCAAGGGCAAGTCCTGCCTGACCAACCTAGTGGCTTTCTATGATGGAGTGACTGCATCAGTCAACAAGTGAAGAGCAATGGATGTCCCCTACCTGGACTTCTGTAAAGCCTTTGACACAGTCCCCCACAACATCCTTCTCTATAAATTGGAGAGATACGGATTTGATGGGTGGACTGTTCAGTGGATGAGGAACTTGTTGGAAGGTCACAGCCAGAGGGTACTGGTCAATGGCTCGATGTTCAAATAGACACCAGTGACAAGTGGTGTCCTTCAGGGGTCCGTTCTGGGACTGGTGCTGTTTAGCATTTTCATCAATGACTTAGCAAGATTGAGTGCACCCTCAGCAAGTTTGCAGATGACACCAAGCTGAGTGGTGAAGGTTACACACCAGAAGGACGGGATGCCATCCAGAGGGACCTGGACAAATTGAAGAAGTGGGCCTGTGTGAACCTTATGAGGTTCAACAAGGCCAAGGGCAAGGTACTGCTTCTGGGTTGGGGCAACTGCTGGCATCAGTACAGGCTGGGGGATGAAGAGACTGAGAGCAGCTCTGCGGAGGATGACTTGGGGGTACTGGTGGATGTAAAGCTTGACATGAGCTAGCAATGTGCACTTGCAGCCCAGAAGGCCAACCGTATCCTGGGCTGTATCAAGACAAGCATGGCCAAGCAGGTCGAAGGAGGTGATTCTGCCCCTCTGCTCTGCTCTGGTGAGGCCCCATCTGGAGTCCTGCGTCCAGCTCTGGAGCCCCCAGCAAAAGAAGGACATGGAGCTGTTGGAGCGGGTCCAGAGGAGGGCCACAAAGATGATCTGAGGGTTGGAGCACCTCTCCTATGAGGAAAGGCTGAGAGAGTTGGGCTTGTTCAGCCTGGAGAAGGGAAGACTCTGGGGAGACCTTACAGCAGCCTCTAAGTACCTGAAGGGAGCCTATAGGAAAGATGGGGAAAATATTTTCAGCAGGGCTTGTTGCAATAGAACAGGGAGCGTTGGCTTTAAACTAAGGGAGAGTAGACTTAGACTAGATATAAGGAAGACATTTTTTACCCTGAGGGTGGTGAAACACTGGAACAGGTTTCCCAGAGAAGTAGTGGAGGCCCCATCCCTGCAAACATTCAAGGCCAGGTTGGTTGGGGCTCTGTCTAGTTGAAGATGTTCCTGCTTGCTGCAGGGGGGTTTGGCTAGATGACCTCTAAAGGTCCCTTCCAACCCAAAGCATTCTATGATTCTGTGACTTGGTTTTCTATGAATAGTCCAGAGACCAGAGTATTTCTTATCTGTTTGCTTTTCTGAGTTTCTGTCTACCGGGCAAGTAGCCTTACAATACTAGAGAGGTAGATGATATCATCTTTGTTCTCTAGTGAAGACCTGCAGGTGCAAAGTATCAATACTGTTAGCTTTCTATGTTTTTCAGACTTTTTTCAGATAAGAAGGTACACATATCAGTGAGGTAGATGTAGTTGTCGACTTGAAAGAAGCTTTAGAAAGTGAACACAAGCATACTGATTTTGATTAAAAGAACAAAACTGAATATGTTCTTGTGCCTAACTCCCTTCTCTTCCCCCTGGTGTGAACAAGATTTTCTGCTATTATTAACAGAAATCCAGTATGTCTATTGGAAATGTTTTGCAGGTAAAGTAGTAGTACACTTTGACCCAAACTTCCCCCAAGTTACTGCAGTGCGTTTGTGGGTGTATACGTAGACGTGCATGTACTGTCTTTTATCTGTATTCCATAGTTATGGAACAAAACTTCAGATTTACCCCTCCCTCTCCGGTCTGAAATAAGTCATAAT